TGTACCGTCTTCGTCTCACTGATGCCCTGGAAACGATTGAACAGAACGCGGCGCGGGATGGGGCGAGTGGCTTGAGTGACGACGAGAGAGAGGGTAGCGGTGTTGCACCGAAGCCTGTTGGCGTGCGACGGGCGGAGGCGCACAGTTGCCTGGGTGTTTGGATGTTGTTGCTTCCACGCGCGGCCGGAGGGGAAGGTGCGGCGGCGTTGTCCACGCTGAGCGTGACGCAAGGCGGAAAACGCCCGCGAAATGCGGATACTAAGTGTGGTTTACAACCCACGTCGCAGCAGCAGCAGTTGCCGCACGACGCACGAGTGAATTGTTGGCAGCTCTTGCGAGAGTGTATAGCTCCCGCAGCAGCAGAAGAGTGGCAGCACGAGAGCAGCGCCGCGAAGGAGGGCGGGGGGGTGGCGGTGATGGTCCCTCACTCGGACCCACGCATCACGATTACGCTGGCGGACATGCGATTTGGCATAGCCAAGGCGTTGAAGAATCGTGTCAGACAGGCGAAGTGAACTCCACATGCGTGTGTGGCTGGGGAATGGCCTTGTGCTGTTGTTTTTTTTTTGCCACTCGGAACTCGTTGCTTTCGTTACTATTATTATTGTTGCTTTATTTGTAGTGAGCAACTAATTCCGCCACGGCGGCTCACGTCATTTTATGTGTTTGTCCCTGCGTGCGTTTTCGTTGTCGCTTGTGCAATTTGTTTTGCGGGGATGCTTTCGGCCGCAAAGAAAGAAAGAAAAAAAAGTTACGGAAAGGTCACTTTGTGTGTGTGTACCACATACGCGTGGCCCCGCTAAAGTCGCAAACAAAAATAAAAAAGCGGTTCAATTACCCAGGGGCTTCGGATGACAGCCGCCGCGGCTGGGGCAGCAGAAACGGCGATTTCGTGCGTTTGCACGATGGGCACCCCGGAGTGCGACGACGAGCTCTACCTCTTCCTGCGCTGCCTGCGGGTGTACCACCCGGGCCTTCCTGTCGTTGTGGGGTGCACCGCCACCATGCTTAAGGCAGGCAAAGCGCCGCGCAGCAAGGCCTACGCCGGATTTTGTGACGATAGGTGCATTGAGTGGGTGCCGTGCCTGGACCCCTACGTGCCAATCAACCGCAGCGAAATGGAGCAGCGGCGCGGTGTGTGGTACCCTTCGCGCCACGCCGACTTTATGATGGAGAAGGCGAATCTTATGGAACACGCCATGGCGCGCCGGCCCGCGCACGGCGGGGACTGCACTGAGGCGGTCCTGTTTCTTGACTGTGATGTTGTGTTGTTGGGTGAGCTTCCGCGGCTTCCGCAAGGCACGGAAGTCGCGCTCTCCTCGCACCGAATTTCCTGCCAGGATGAGGCCCTGTTTGGGCGTTACAACGGCGGGTTTGTCGCGGCCGCCTCCCCGTTGGTTCTGCACGAGTGGCGACGCGCGACGCGGCACTCGCGGTATTTTGATCAGGCCTCTTTGGAAAGCGTCGCGCAGAGATTTGCCTCCAAATTGTACGAGATTCCCCCGCAGCACAACTATGGGTACTGGCGTTTCTTTCAACCCTGCCGGGGGGATCCGCTGATGGAAGCGCGCCGGTTTTCTCTGCGACGCGCCGGCGCACGCGGCGAGTTGGCGCTCTGCTACGAGGGCGAGCCGCTGCGGTCGATCCACACCCACTTTCTCCGCGCTATGGACCCGAGTGCGCGCGACGTTTCTGCGTTCAACGGCCTTATGAAAAAGTGGATCCTACGATGCATCCGCGGCACGTTACACCCCGGCACGGTCGCACCGCGCACCGGCGCCGCGGCGGTAATGGTGGCAGGAAACGCTCGCTACCAACAGTGTTTTGATCTCTCACTTCTCACAGAAACACGTTAAGCAAAGCCTTTAGTAATAGCGAACCCCAAAGCGAAACCATTTTTTGTTATTGCCATTATTTCACTGGGAAGCTGCGGGGGGGATACCATAAACACGCGACCCGCAGGCGAATAAAAAGGAACAAGAAAGGTGAGGAAAAAGCCACAATCACCGCCCCTCAGTTCTTGTCGTCGCTTATGTTCTCGTGGGTTTTTCAGCTTGCATGAAAAGGGCGGCAACGCAAAGGCTGATAGTAATAATAAAAAAATGGGGCCGGGGCTACTGGGGAAGGCGGTCCTCTATTTTTTCCTTTTTCGTTGTGGGGGAAGGCGCGCGCGTTTTACAAGCAAAAGGAAGGTTGCAGCAGAAGTTGACGCAGACGGGCGCCAGCACCCGCCCTCGCAGCACTTTCAAGGACTGCCGTCCAGGAAAAGAGCCGCAACCGCCAAAAACAAAAAGCTGCACCGAAGCGCAGATCACCTAAGAAACAGCAGGGCTCTTAGTTTTTATTGGTTTCTCCTCTTTTTTTTTTTTTTTGTCAACTGCTTGGGCCCTCCCTTTACCTTTGCCCACGAGCGAATGTTTGATGACCTCGTTGGCGGGCCGCGTAGCAAGGACAGCTCCAAGCACCAAAGCACACTGTGGTTTGGACACAGCGCGGGTGACTAGGCACGGGGGCACATGTTCTTCTGCTGTGCGTTTCCTTGCGGCCCGGCAGGCCAAATTAGGCTATGGGGGTGGGGTGGGGGTGTGATTGGAGCTGCCGGGCGTTATTTTGTGGCGCGCTCGGCCTCCGCGGCCGCTGATTAGCCCACAGCCCGAAGCGACATGGGCGGTGGCGCCGGTAAATTGGAGGAGGGGGCGCCTTTAGTTTGTTGCGTTAATAGTTTGTCTTAGCTTGCCGCTTTCGGGTTTGAAGCATCCAAAACCGAAACCGAAGCAAAACGTGTCCCAGAAGGCGCCTGCTCCGATTAACCCACCCACCCCATTGCCCTCGGGCGAGGAAAACCGATTTGACAGGAGCGTTTGGAGTGAGCTTCTGCGGCCTCGCATGAAGAGTGGGGGTGCCGTTGGCCCCCTCAGAGGGGAGGTGGAGCTACGCGCGCGGAGGCGACACGCTTACTGTTGAAGAATGGAACCAGAAGCGCCCCTTCCAGTTGGAAAACGGAGAACGGGCAACCCTAGGCAGAGGCAAAGGCTCGCCCCGGGGAAACGGGCGCGCAGAACAAAGGCAACAATGTAGCTTAATTGTCAAAAGAAAAAAGGCAGCATGACTAACAAGCCCTTCGCGGAGGCCACCCCTGGGTGCGACATCGCTTCCTGCGCGGGGGCGGGGTGGGGGGAGGCCCTGCGCTGATTTTGCCCCGCCCCCACCCGGGGCGAGGCCACGCGCACGCCTACTGCGGGAATTTCGAAAGGCAGCCCGCCGGAAGGAACTGAGATGGGGGCGGCGCTTGCGGCCCGCCACCAGAGGAGTGGTGGTGCCCCGCGCCTACTGCCGCCACCGCCCGGCGCCCGTCGAAGAGCTCGGTGGTCTCGCGTAGCCGTTCCGCCCCCCCCCCCCCCCCCCAATAAAAACCACTTCGGCGAAGGCAGAGGGGCGCCCCACAGCCACGTGTCGAAACGGCTGCGGCGCAGCCCTCCCTCGAGGAAAAAAAGGCCCTACGATCGAGGATGCACCCCTGTGCGGGGGTAGGGGGGCACCGCGGTGGCGGCGCAGCG